ACGTTCTTACGGAGGTGGTCGATTGAATAATAAACGATGTTTAAACATAACAATATAATTCATTTATTAAATAAAAACTTAGAAGTGTTTTGTAAGTTGAGAACAATAAAGTTTGATAATCTGCAGAGCGTTGGTGTGCATTTATTGGCGGTTGATCAGTGACTCAATGAATATGTAAAAAAGAAGAGACAATGATAGTGATGCATGATGATGCCAGATGGTTGCATTTTATGTGGTAATACTACACTGATAGAAAAATTGCATTTCAAATTTAAGCCGAATACACTCAGTTTTTACTAAAATCGTACTTAAACAATTAAGAAAAATTCGTACTTAGTTATTCTTAAAATAAGTACAATTTTGGATAGTTTTATAAATTCAAGTACGGAAATTATTGGAATAAGTATTAATTTCTTGACTTACGTAAAATATTCTCATATTAAGTTAAGATTTGTATTTAATTCAAGAAAAAATTTCTAATAATGAGAAGTAAGTCATATATAACTTGAATTAAAAAGGAAATTCTTAAAACAAGCTTTGAGAGAAAAACAATGAGCACATAACAAATTTACTCTCTCAGATACTAATGAAAAGTAAGCGGAATATAACTTGAAATAAGAAGAACATTCTTATAACAAGCCTTGAGAGAGGAAAATGATGGAATACAAAAACTCTCTCGGCTGCATTTTTTTCTTAGTTGCGTTTGTTCATTTCTAGCTTTGATACAGAACATTGTGGAAAAGCAGTATTAGTTCGATTTGCGCGTGCCAGTAGACGGTTGGTAGAATTGATTGTTTTTCTGTCTGCCAAAAAATGAGTGAAAGTGTTTTTTCAACTGTGAAAGAGACGCCTCCTGTGGACGACGACTCCCGTATGCGCAAATTACTCCAGGAGTTTCAATTGGAATCAGTCTTTGATTATTTGAAAGGTGAGTATAACAAAGATGGCGAAAAAAATAAAATATATATTCCGAATATTTTGAAGTGTTTATAAAAGTGTGCGCGTGTGTTTTTTATACATATGTAATATTTTACTCCAAATATATTGACTATTTCTACATACACATTTTAATAACGGTATATTTCCGAAAAATTCTTATGAAAATGTACATAAAGCTCAACAACGCCTGTTTGCTTTCGCAAACTGTTTGTATAAAATATATATGTGTACACACAAACACCTACTTGGTATACACATATTACCATGCAACAAAAGCGCGATCTTCAAAACGATAAGCGCAAAATTTCTTAGATCAAGAATATTCTTCTTGCATTTCTAACGCGCATATATTTTAAGTATTACAAATTCTTAACGTAAGTGCAACACACTTAATCTAAGTGGAGAGAGCGAGTTGAAAGCAAACCAAAATGTCTCTGTTATTGTCTGTTGCATTGTGTATTTTTTGGAAGGAGAGAGAGTGTTGAAGCAATTCCAAATTTTATGCTCTATTCCGTTCTCATTGAATTTATTCGTACTCCTGGTCGTCGCTTACTATGTTTTTCAGTTTTGAGTTGTGAAATACCGTTAGTCATGTAGAGTTTTTTTGTGTATTCATTATTTTTGTGTTATGTAGCAAAATGCATTGATAGTTCTAAAGAATTTTGTTGATATCGTTATTTGTCGTTGCGCTTTACATTAGTTGTGTTTTATATTATTCTTCAATTACAATATTTCCATATTATCTTTATGGTTTAACAATAACTTTATATCCTTATTTATTTAGCTGCTCAAGTGCGGTATAGAAGTTTACAATACATGCAAACAGAAGATATAAAAGAAGCAGTACCTCCTCTTGGTCTTCGAATAGAATTTCGAGAAAAACTTTTCAATAGCAGGTAATAAAATTTAATGAGTATATGATTTGGCGAATTAAATTGATTTTTCAATATTATTTTATAGTTTGGTATCGATGACGAAACAATTTCTGTGCAATCCAAAGTCGACAATTGGTTGACAGGAAAAGAGTCCCATGGGAAACTGCTGATTTGGTAAGCATTAACTTAAATAATTATTTGCAAAAAAAATAGCAATTATTTAACATAGTCTTCATTTCAGTCTCATTTGATAAATTTACCACCATAGATTTTATATTTCGTATTATCTTTTCAGATCCAAATTGATTTCGAACTTTTGTATCCAGGCAAGAGTCATATGTTGTTTTCCAAGTGGCAAAATTTCAAAGGAAAAATTCTGCCATATCACGAAAGAAACGTCACCAAGTGAAGGACACACAACATCTAGGTGAACATGAGGAGTTTTTTGTATTATATAGATTTAAAAATGATTTTTCATTTATTTTTGGTATTACTTTATAATTTCTCTTAAAAATCAAATAAACTATATTTTACGTAAATCAACCATTGCTTTATTTCATATCAAACATGGAAAATAGTTTGAATTCAGCTCGAAAAACTCAATTTAAATGACTTTGGGATCATTTCAATCACTGGCATTTCTTAAATCAATTTTATTTTTGAATTAGAACAAGTGAGAGTTTGGATTAAATCAAGTTTGGAAATATATTTCTTTATCATTTCAATCTGTGGTACTCTCAATTTAATCTTTTAATCAGGAACAAAATTCTTGAAACAAGAATATAGTGAGATAATTCTGATTTATAGAATGCTCAAATCAAGGCCACGTTGCGCTTGAATCAAGTTTTATTAAGCATTAAATCAATCCTAGCGATCTTTTACCAAGTAAATTTCGTACTTAGATCGAAACTAAAATAAACTTAAATCAATTCCAGTTTTCTTAAATCAAGACTCTTCTGAGCTTAATGCAAACACAATCCGGCACAAATGGTGCTAAAATTATGAAATCCGCACTAGAAAAAACCGTACTTAAATCAAGTTTTTTCATCTTGGTATAAGAAAAACCGCACTTACCGTACTTTTGACACCGCTCCGGCTTCATTTAAGTACGGAATACTCAATTTTTTTTATCAGTGTAGGGTTACCCTAATATCTCCCCTTTTAAGTTTGAGCCGGGCTTCTGGATATGACTTCAACTGGTTGTCTTCTCTGGCTGATTCTTCTTGGCTGATAGTTGACAACAGGTGAACTTGGTGGAGTAATGAAATCTTCACTTGACTGTTGTAATGCTGTAGAATCTGTAGACGGCAATTGAACGTTGAAATCCTGAAGTAATATATCCATAGGTAATGTATCGTCTGAGGATGGAGGAACATCGTCGGTTAATCTTGTTCTTAGTTGATCTGCATGAGTCTTGATTAACTTTTTGCGACTTCCGACCCATATTGCTGTGTCGTAAGTGACTGTACCTGTTCTATTTATTATCTCTCCAGGAACCCAATTTGATTTGTTGTGATGGAACTCTTTTGCATATACTAAATCTCCTGGTTTGAACGATTTAGGCTTAGTTCCGTGTTTGGCATTGTACTGATTTTCCATTTTCTCGTTTCTTTCCAGTGCTGGTGTTGAAGGCTTCCGAAGAGCGTCGAGTATTGTTCTCATTTTCCGTCCTAGAAATGCTTCTGCTGGTGATGAATTATTTGGTGAATTTACGTTTGGCATTGATCGGTATACTTCTTGGAACTTGCAAAGTATTTCGGGTATCGTTTCTTCCCCTTCTATTTTTTTGATTGATCTTTTAAAAGTCTCAACAAACCTTTCGGCTTGTCCGTTGGAGCTGGGATGAAAACGAACTATGCTTGTATGTTGAATTGCTCTTTCCTTGCACCATTGTTCAAAATTGGTGGAACAGAACTGAGTCCCGTTGTCTGACACGATCTGCTCGGGGTTTCCGAATTGTGAGACATACTCGTTCATTAATTTTGTTGTAACTGCAGCTGTGATTGACGATGTCTGGTAAATTACTGGGTACTTTGAATATGCATCTACTATTAGGAGGTAGTAGAATCCTTTAATTGGACCAGCGTAGTCGATGCGAACTCGTTCTAGCGGTCTTGTTGTTAATGGCCATGATGATAAATCTGTCTTTACTGGATTTTTACTTACTAATTGACAATTTTGACATCTTTTGACGTAGTCTTCAATATCTTTGTCTATGTTGGGCCAATAGACATAACTTCTTGCAAGGGTTTTGCATTTTTCAATAGCAAAATGTCCACGATGAAGTTGTTTTAGAATTTTCTTTCTAAATTTTTGTGGAATGATTATTCTTGAGTTTAAAAGCAGACATCCGTCGACATATTGTAAGTCATCCTTATGCTTGAAATAAGGTGCTACCTGTTGGTCCACTTGATTTTGTTTTTCAGGCCATCCTTTTTCCATGTATGATAAAACATTTTGGAGAATTTTATCTGATTTTGTTTCATCTACAATCATGCTGTTTGTTACTGGAATTTTTGACATTGATTCATTTAAATCGTTTTGAATGTCTCGCTCAAAGTTGATTGACGCTATTATGAAATCGTCTGAAGGTTTTTCATGAGATTTTATTAGTCTTGAGAGAACATCGGCATGTCCGAAGTCTTGAGTGTTTGTATACTTGATATCAAAATCATAACCAAGTAGAATTAGCGCCCACCTTTGAAGTCTATTCGCTGTGTAAACAGGTATGCCTTTTTTAGACCCAAATATCGCTAATAATGGTTTATGATCTGTGTGAAGTGTGAATTTGCGACCAAGTATCATGCGGTGAAATTTTTGTACTGCAAAAATTAACGCGAGACCTTCCTTCTCTATTTGACAATAATTTTTTTCTGCAGGCGTCAATGACCTTGAAATATGATGGATTGCTTTCATGCTTCCATTTGGAAATGTGTGATATATAACAGCGCCAAGACCATGACTTTATGCGTCAGCTGCTATATGGACTGGTAAATTTGGATCATAATGTGTGAGCAAGAGATCTGATGACAGAATATTTTTGAATTTATCTAGTGTTGCCTGGCACTCTGTTGTCCATTTAAAATGATCTTCCTTCTTTAAAAGGTCGTCAAGAGGCTTTCTCAGATTTCTCATATTAGGAACATATTTTCCATAATGATTAATGGAACCTAATAAAGATCTTACCTCAGATATATTCTCTGGAGTTTTTAGCTGTTGAACTGCTTTGATTTTTTGTGGATCTGGACGTATTCCTGTTTTGTCAATTATTTGTCCCAAATAAATGATTGAACTTTGAAAGAACGCACATTTCTCAAATTTTAGACGAAATCCGAATTCTTGAATACGCTGTAGTAATGTTTGTAAGGTTTGCTTATGCTGTTCAATGTCTGGACTGGCAATCATAATATCGTCGATATATGCCTTAACGCCATCTATACCTGTGCATAGTTGATCCATTATGCGTTGAAATGCACCTGGTGCACATTTCACTCCTGGGGGTAATCTGTTGAATTTGAACAATCCCTTGTGGGTGTTGACTGTCAGCAACTCCTTACTGTCGTCATCTACTTCTGTTTGAAGGTAGGCGTCCGATAGATCCAAATGGGTAAAAACTGTGCAGTTGTGACATTCTGCAAAAATCTCTTCTGGCGTAGGCAACGGATATTGATTAGGTTCTATGGCAATGTTTAAACCTGTTGAATAGTCTCCGCAAATTCTTACTTTTCCATTTCGTTTACTTACGACTATAGGTGCTGCCCACTTTGATGTGTCCACTGGAGTTATTATACCTAAATTTTCAAGACGTTGCAGTTCGGTTTCAATTTCACTGCGTGCTGCGTATGGAACTGGTCTTTTTGGTATAAAAACTTCTTTTACATTTGGAAGTACCTTGATGTTAACTTTTGTTTTGGTACATAAACCCATTGAACTGTTGTCAAATACTTCTTTGAATGATGCTTTTATTTTTGATATTTCATCGTTGAAATTTATTTGACGACACCATGCTGTGATGGGAATGTTCCATAGGTTAAATTTTTCAATCCAATCTATGCCCATTACATTTAGTGATTCAACGTCTGAAATATAGCATTCCACTATTTCAGATCTATTTCCTATTGAGACTTCTATTGAACATTTGGCCAAAAATTTCATCTGTTTAGCATTAGCAACATTGGCGGTGTCTTTTGTTGGGGTTGCTTCAGGTCTTCCGATGCGTTTCCAAGTTGACTCAGAAATTATGGTCATGTCCGAGGCTGTATCCACTTGTAATTTTACTTGTTTGGAATTAATACTCACTGTGACATATTTTCTTAATTCCTTGAATTGTACTTGTTTTGTTGACAATATTGTTTTGGCATTGAATTTTCCTTTGTTCTTGTTGAAATTCTGATGATTGTTCTTCTTTGAATGTTGGTCATGATTGGTTTTGCTCTGTTGCTGCTTGTTTTTGCAAAAACCATCTTTGTGACCAATCTGTTCGCATTTGGTACACTTATGCTTGGAATAGGGCCAATGTTTAGCATAGTGCATATCTCCACAGTACCAACATGCTGTTTTTGATAACTTTTGTTTTTGTTGTGGCTTACCAATATTGTTGCATTGTTTTACGCTTCCCTCAATTAGCGCTGTGTCACTTTTCAAATCCAAAATGCTTTGTGTTTCATCAACTAGCTTTTCTAGGTTGACTACTTCCTTACTTTCATTGAGATGCCTTAATAAACGGATTCTGATGTCACTGTCTTGTGATGATTTAAGACCAAGTATGAAAATTAAACACTTGAACTGATCTATGGTTAAGTTATCCAGTTTAAAAAGTTCACACTGAAGATTGACGCGACTAGCGTACTCTTTAAAATCTTCATTTTCCATCTTTGTGATTTGAAGACACTTATAACGTAGACTTACTTGTGTTTCTGTTCGTCCAAACAACTTTGTAAGATGTTTGATTGTGTCTGTCAATGAAAGTTCTTGGGGTTGTTTTGGTAGAACAAAATTCTTGAACCGTTCATGAATGTGGTTGGACATTTTTCTCCACAGAAGTCCTACTTTGTCTGGATCGTCCAGTGCACTTGCTTCTCTTTCAAAGATGTGTCTGAATCGATTGTACCACGATTCAAATAATAAACCACTGTCAGGCTCATAGTTAAAATCCGTCATGGAATTTGCTAAAGATTCTATGAGGTGGGCTTTTGCCACTGATGACTCTCCTGGAATTGATGATGAAACTGTGTTTACACCTTTTTGTTGTCCAGCGATAAGTTGTGTGAGAATATTTAGTTGTTCTTGCTGTTGAGCAAGTAATTTCACAATATTTGCTTGTTCCGACATGTCTGTTTTCAGCCGTTACAAATTTTCTTAAGACGCTGCTGTTGCTGCGTATGTGTGTATGTAGCAAAAGATGATGAAATTCCCAACGTTGCTGTGGTGTGTGTGAAACTGCAAACTGTTATTTGTGTGTGTGAAACTGCAAACTGTGCTGATCGCCGAAGATTTCTTAAAATTTCTTGTTGGAATGTTCCTGATGAAATTGCGCCTGTGCTTTTTGATGTTTTCCTTGAAAATCTTCCTGCCACAACTTTTATTGTGGGCGGTGTCTTGATGATATGCAGCCTTGTTGCCCGCTGAAATTCCTTTTTGTTACAGTTTTCTTACTGTGTGTGGTTTTCAATTCACTATCCTCGTCGCCAAATTGTTACGTTCTTACGGAGGTGGTCGATTGAATAATAAACGATGTTTAAACATAACAATATAATTCATTTATTAAATAAAAACTTAGAAGTGTTTTGTAAGTTGAGAACAATAAAGTTTGATAATTTGCAGAGCGTTGGTGTGCATTTATTGGCGGTTGATCAGTGACTCAATGAATATGTAAAAAAGAAGAGACAATGATAGTGATGCATGATGATGCCAGATTGTTGCATTTTATGTGGTAATACTAGGGTTACCCTAATAGAAGATTTTGCAGATGTCATTCGAAACGCTAAATCTCAATGATAATGCTGAAGCAACTGGATGAACCTGGAGTGAAGTACTTAACTGCTGTTCTCAACCAGTCGTTAGCCACCCACATTGTTCCTGAAGCCTGGAAAATAGGCAGGATGATATCAGAGGTGAATCGTATAGGCCGATTTCCCTTTGTCTCCAGTAGCAAAGACGCTTGAGTCACTACTCCTCCCTCTGCACTGTAGGTAATTTGGACAGTTTTTTAGGCAAAAAGTATTTTTTTCAATTTTGGAAAATAATATCTTTTTTGATGGCATTAAAAAGAAAATATGTCAAAATGTATAATTCTGTAAATTTTTTTGCGTAAATGTGTCTTAAAAGCGGTTGAAATCGTGACCAAACTCTACACTTTGATAATAAAATTAAAGAAATAAAAAAAATTTTAAATCAAGGCGTATTTTAAAACGATAGATACAAAGCATAAACATAAAAAGTAAACAGGGGGAGTATTGGCGGTGGTGTGTGCTGTTTATTTAATATATAATATTTGATAATACGTTTGTGTAGCGATTCAAAATTTACATAGGTTCAGACCACCTCCCCATCATCGTCTCCGTAAATAGGCCACCCGATTTCATAACCTCTGAACGCCGAACTTTCCTGAACCATGGAAAAGTTGATTGGGAAGGTTTCAGAGATTTAACCAATCGCCGCTTCAGAGAGCTGCCCATTTCCTCAGATCCTCGAGTAGCTGAGAGGAAATTCCGAGACATCATCACTGCTGCAGCCGCCCGCCATATACCTGCTGGTCGTATACCCGAAGTGACACCAAACATCCCAGCAGAAGCGACGGTGCTTGCGAATGAGCGTGATGAGCTTCGTCGTACAACACTTGAAGAGTGAAAGAACTCACCTGTTCACGTAGCGAACATGGTTTTTAAATAATAAAGATAGTGAATATCTTGCTGTGGGTCTCTTGTGTAAAGGAGAGAGTATTTAGTTAAACAGGGATCTATTTTCGTATACAGTCCACTTGAGATAAGAGATTATTTTGGTTGAATGTTTGTACACTAGAAAATATAGGAGTTTTTTATTGCCACATGTGGTATGTTTGGGTGAGATTACGGGGAGTAATCTTTACTACAGACTGATAAGCATGTGTAGCGTGCTCGCCACATGTGAGATAAGTAATTGTGTGTGTCCACTCCATGTGTTATGGCAGATGCACTCTCTCTCTCTCTCTCTCTTTTACACATTAGTCTAAGATAGGTTAAGTAATATTGTAATACTTAGTTCTTAAGGATCTTTTTTTGTATTAATTAATGAGTGTGTAAATGCACAGCAAATAAGAAACATACGTGCTATCACTCCGCGGACAATATCCGCGTAAGATCCCTAGTTTTTCATCACCCTTGAAGTCAACAGATAGGCATGCGAGCACAAGCGGTAAAAGTGGCTAGACTGATCCCAAGAGGTGCGCTAGTTTTTTAACCGGCAGTTTATAGAGCACCCCGAGAGTGACATGGCGAAAAGGAGTGTGCTTCGTTGTATTAGAGCCCTCCGAGCCGAGGAGGTACCAGCACAATTTTCGAAGGATGATTTTGCAGATGTCATTCGAAACGCGAAATCAAAGCGTTGGGCCCGGATGGAATCTCAATGGTAATGCTGAAGCAACTGGATGAACCTGGAGTGAAGTACTTAACGGCTGTTCTCAACCTGTCGTTAGCCACCCACATTGTTCCTGAAGCCTGGAAAATAGGGTGGTCCCGCTACTGAAGCCAGGCAAGGATGATAGCAGAGGTGAATCGTATAGGCCGATTTCCCTTTGTCTCCAGTAGCAAAGACGCTTGAGTCACTACTCCTCCCTCTGCACTTAGGTAATTTGGACAGTTTTTTAGGCAAAAAGTAATTTTTTCAATTTTGGAAAATAATATCTTTTTTGATGGCATTAAAAAGAAAACATGTCAAAATGTATGATTCTGTAAATTTTTTTGCGTAAATGTGTCTTAAAAGCGGTTGAAATCGTGACCAAACTCTACAATTTGAAAATAAAATTAAAGAAATATTTTTTTTAAATCAAGGCGTATTTTAAAACGTTAGATACAAAGCATAAACATAAAAAGTAAACAGGGAGAGTATTGGCGGTGGTGTGTGCTGTTTATTTAATATATAATATTTGATAATACGTTTGTGTAGAGATTCAAAATTTACATAGGTGACTATAATAAAAGGTGACTATGTTGGTAACTTCAGAATAAAAACAATAATATTTTCAATATTTGGTTTGATGAAAAAAACAAAAGCAAGGAAACATTGTTGCTCACAACGTCCCCGCAAGTAAAATTACCAATAACAACAATATGGACTAAAAAGACGTCAAATTAAAATAGGAAATTAGGTTATTTTGCATGCTTTTGTCAAGATGGACCGAATGACATAGGAATATATAACTTTTCCGCGAAAAAAAATGAATACACACGAATTTTGATTACAAAATAAATAACGTGAATCGTAAACCGCAAATAGGTTGTCAAAGGAAAGATTATGAGAACAAATCTCATAATCTTTGATTAAAAATGAAAAAGTGACATACGAAAAAAATTGTTCAGTATATCCAGTGTTCACTATAATCGTGTTCGCTTGTAGTAAGCATGGTTTTATCTCACTTTTACATATTAATAACTTTAAAGAGTATAAATGGGTACTGAAATAATTGTTATTAGGGAATCCGGAAAAACATACAACATTGTAATAATTATTCCTTTACAAATCTAATCGCGGTGTCGAATTTGTTTTAAATCATTACTTCAATTGTTTTCAATCGTTTGTTGTGTTTATGAAAAGTAATGAGAATATCTGAGAAAGAACTAGCTTTGTTCGTTATATGTGTAATTGTTTATAAACGTTATTCGTTATATCCGGTTTCTACTGTGGAAATCTGCGTTTTCTCTTTCTTGTACATATAAATCATTTAAAAAGTCAAAAAAAAAATCGTTTAACACCGCTGTTATTAATTTTTGCCTCAAAAACAGGGCATATTACCTATAGTGCTCTGATGAGAAGTAGGTTTCAAGTCAACATCATCATGGATTCCGGAGGATGCACAGCACAACTTCAGCATTACACGCCATAAATCCACAATCAATTACATGTGTGGTCGCCAGTCATATGTGGAATTCAGAAACAAGAAGTCTAAACCCCGTAGAGTGAAACAGGGAGTTCCCCAAGGTGGGGCAGAGGACTTAACCAGAACAGGCCGTGCGACAGGACAGTCTTGGTGGCTCTTCACTTATCGAAAGCCTTCGATACTATGAATTACGCCAAGCTGTTCGAGGACATAGAGAAGACCAACCTCCGGCCTAGTTTCAAACGTTGGACAATCAATTACACGTGTGGTCGCCAGTCATATGTGAAATTCAGAAACAAGAAGTCTTGATGGTGCAATAATTCCCACCACAAACTACCCCAAAATTGTGGGTGTAACGTTCGATAGCTTATTTAAGTTGTCCGCGCAAGCCACCGCTATTTGCGATGAATTGAGAAGCAGGAACAAGGTCCTCAAGTCGCTTGCCGACAGCTCTTGGGGTGCTGATAAAGAGACCTTGTTGATCTCCTACAAAGCAATATGTCGTTCGGTGATAAGCTATGCGGCGATACGCAGTGGAAGAACATTCAAAACCTGAGAACTGCGACAAGGTGCCTCCTTATGACGCCAGTGGACCATTTACATGAGGAGACAATGGTCTTACCCGTACATCGTCACAACAGGATGTTGTCGATGCAGTACCTGCTTGGGTGTTATTGCAGGAATCATCCATGCCATAATCTTATGGATAGAATTCCCCCACCCTGGCACATAAGGAGAGACCTACATGATCTAGAGAGAGGTCCAACGGTACAAAAGGGAACCCCTATATCAAGAGGCT